AATTGTTGTGCCATTGATGAACAGGAAGTTTTATGCAGCTGTCAGATGCACCAGCTGAGCATTTCCTGCAAGGGAGGAAGATTTATTTGGTGGCAGCTTCATTGGAGATTTTTAGAAATGAAAAAAATAGCATTTTGAGAGCTGCAAAAGCATGAAAGCAGCAGTTTCCTGTGCTTTGCAGAAGATTTTCTGTGGCTGCCACCCAGCTAAATAATTCCCAGTTTGGCGAAACAAAAACTCAACGTGTGCCCCTCAGGTCTGTCCTTGCTGTAAACATGGGATGGCTTTGAAATTACTGGGAAAGAATATTAAAGAGTTGAAAGACACCTCAAAGAATGGATGGTTCATTGTCCACACAACTGGGAGAAATTAATCAGGATAAAGCTCACTGTGATGGCTCAGTTCAAGGAAAAACCTTTTTCTGAAGGAAAAGGAGCACTGTAATTCTTATATTCAGGTGAAGGACGTGATAATCCAAATTACTTCCTTCATGATGAATATTAAGGTTTTAAGGCTGAATTTGAAGACATTTTAGGAGCAAACAGATCCATGGAAGGCAAAACATGGTGCAAATTTGTAGTGAATGTAATGACCTTCTCTTACAGAAATAAAGCATTTCTGGAATTAAATATTTACACCTTCATTTCAAAATCACTTCACAATAATATTTTAACCAGGGGAGAAAGACCAAAAAATCAAATTAAAAAAGACAATTAGTCCAGCATTATTGCATGGGCGAGTGGTTTCACAGCCAGGCTGGGATTCTGTGCCTCAGCCCAGGGATAAGTTCCAGAGACCATTCCAAAATCATATCCTGTCTGTGGATGGAACTTTGAGAGTGGACTCGTGGGATATCACCTGAGCTTGTAGCAAACAGGGATTTGCACCAAGAAGAAAATGAGAAAGATGCTTGACCCAGTGCCAGAATGAAAAAACAACCAGGATATCCCCTCCCTTCCCACGCCCTGCTGAGGTGCTGGATGCAGATTCCTGCTCTGGTCCCACCCTTGCAGGTTCCTCATCACCCCTGAAACACCTGACACCCTCCCCAGCCAGCACAACCCTCGTGACAAATCTGTTTTCTTTGTCATGATTAAGAACAGAATTATACCCAAACCCACAAAGCAACTCTGAAATAAAAGTGCCAGCTGGATGATGCAAGCAAGTCAGTGGTCTTCCTTTCAAACCATAAAATTGGGATTTTTTTTCCTTGCTATTTCGCCTGCCTGTGGAAACCTCGCTTTGCAAAGCCAGGTTTTATTGCCTGAGGTGCTGTGAAAACTGAGAACAAAAAGCTCTCCCTGCTGCAGACACCCCCAGTGTGAGAGTGGGCTCTGTGACCCACCTGAGGGAGCAGCAAATCCTGACAATGGCTTTAAAACAGCAGCACTTTGTTAGGCTGCACATTCTGCAGAGGGATTGGGATCAGAACCACCCAGGCTGCACACTCTGCAGGGGATTGGGATCAGAACCACCCAGCTGCACACTCTGCAGTTGGATTTGGATCAGAACCACCCAGCTGCACACTCTGCAGGGGGATTGGGATCAGGAACAACCCAGGCTGCACACTCTGCAGGGCATTGGGATCAGAACCACCCAGCTGCACACTCTGCAGGGGGATTGGGATCAGAACCACCCAGCTGCACACTCTGCAGGGGATTGGGATCAGAACCACCACTGACAACAGCAAACAGTCAAAAGAACAGTAGGAGAACTTTGCCAGTAACAGAACTTTGTTTTTTTTTCTGCATTTTGGGGAAAGCCCGCGTTGGGAAGGGGTTTGTGGGTGTGCAGCACAATGTCACCATTCCCACAGCAGGGTGGTGAGGGGCTGCCCCAGGGCCAGGGATCCACAAGTGCCTTGGAGCAGGTTTGGGTGGCCAGAGAGCTGAGAACAGAAAACACCTGGGGAGGGGCACGGGGCTGCTCCACCCTGGCTGTGTTTGCACCCAGTGTTTGTGAGCACTCCCTGGATGACTGTGGGCAGAGCAGGGACAGGGATAAGGACAGTGGCACAGCAGTCAGGGCTGGGTGAGCAGCACCTCACCTGGACCAGCTCCAGCTCCCAGAAGCTGTCCCAGACCCTCTCCCCCAGGTAACTCCTTCAGATCCTTCCTATCCTTCATCTCCTTCCTTCCCTAATGTGCAGCTCTGCTCTGCTGGTTTAGCTTTTCCTGGGTTTTGCTCTCACAAAAGCATTTTTTGCATTTGCTTTTTGCTGCTCTGCTCCAGCAGTCCTGCCTGTGCTCTCCTGCCCAAGGATCTTGGGAGCACCTGCAAGTCTCGTTTTCTTTATTTGGGTTTTAAAGCACCTGCTCTGCCTTTTCCCCTGCAGTGCCCTGGCTTTTCCTGCAGAATGGGAGCACAGCTTGGTGGCAGAGCCTTTCCCCAGCCACACTGGGACTGGCTGCTCACCTGGTGGCATTGTGGAGCTGTCCCCTCCCTGGGAGCCCAGGGCGTGAATGTTTGAGCTATTTTGCTTCTCCCACTTGGCTCCAGCGTGGAGTGGCTGAAAGAATTGTATAAAACTGTCCCAAGAGCCTGAAGGAGCGTAAGTCAGCATGTCCTGCATGCCCAGCCCCTGCCAGGCTGGATCTCAGGTGCTCTGGGTGTTCCTTGTTTGCTGTAGGTGACTCAGGCCAGCCCTCCCTGCTGCTGTCCCTGCTGCTGTCCCTCGTGTGCCCACGGCTGCTGCCCAGCTCTGCCCGGGCTCAGAGCCCCTGGCCCTGCTCCCCCATCCCCAGCACGCGTCCTCTCCCTGCAGGACAAGGCGGAGCTGCTCTCAAGGTAAGCAGAATTTCTGAACTCTGCGCTATTATCAGCCCTTTCCTCGCTCCACGTCAGTCAGAGCTGAAAATTCTGCTTTTCCACCTGGACGTGGCCATGTCCTCAAGCTCAGCTGGGTTCCGAGGGCAGGGAAATGGATTATTTTCTGTGGTGTTTAAATGCAACATATGGTAAGTTTTAGCGAGGAGTTAATTGTGGACTTTTGGCATTGATGGACACGGGTGATTGCAATATTCCAGGCTGGTCAATACATCAGGGAGGGGAGGCTTGGCTGCCTTTAGCAGCACACAGCAGATCATAGATTTTGCTATAATTTTCTCTCATATTTTCAAAGTATTTATCATTCTGCCAGAACCAAACCAATGATTTTTGAGAGAGAGAGTGAAAAAGGAGGATTTTCCCAAGCCTTGAACTTGGCACACTATGGTGCACATAGCATTAAAACCAATTAAAAATACAATAATTTTCCTTTTGAATTATTTTCTGCATTACAATGGAAGCAGTGAGGCATAATTTGGGAAAGGGATTGTTTCAGAGCTGTAGAAGCTGGTAGTTCATGTTCCTTTTGGAACCAGTCAGGCTGGATTCCAGCTGGCCTGGGGGAGCCCCCACAAGGACAATATCCTTGGGACTTGGTGAAAAGCCTGTACCTAGAAAGGAAGGCTCAGGACAGGCCTGATTTTAAGGGCTTTCCTCTCATTTTGAAGAATGTTCTTGTATCAGAATCATCTCTTTTCCCCTCTCAGCCCTCCAAATTCACCTTCTCCCATAAAAGTTGTGACATTTTCTCTCACAGAGTGAGGAAGCTCTTCCTGCAGAGCCCTGGCACAGCTCCAGGAGGGTGTGGATCTCCCTCTCTGGAGCCACCCCAAACCCACCTGGCTGAGTTCCTGTGTCACCTGCCCCAGGTGGCCCTGCCTGGGCAGGGGCTGGGTGATCTCCAAGGCATCTTCCAACCAAATTCTGCTGCAATTCCGTGATTATCTACTCCACAAACACATCGTGAGAGCTCTTTATTTTCCTTTATTCACATTGAATAACTCCAGCTTTAAACCTCGCAATATGAAATGAGAGCAAAACTGATCTGACCACATCAACAGAGGCCTGAGCACTCTGGGAAAAACAAAACCATTCCATGGGAATGCCAGGTGGAGCTGCTGTTTGCTCAGCTCTGGAGCTCAGGAGGCAGCCAGAGCTGGCTGGAGCTGTGCTGGCACAAGGGCAGAGCTGTGACAGCAGCTGCCAGTTTGATTCATCTGCTGAGTTTGGATCGTCACTGCTGCTGCTCGCATTTGTCTGTAGGTGGCAGTGACCTGTCATTTTTCTGTAAAACGGGGCAGAAGTAGCACACACGGATGTTTTCTAATTTAATCTGATTTGTTTAAAGGAGGTGTTCTCCTCCATTCTGTGCAGCTTCACTGATTCCCACAGGCAGGGCAGAGCAGAGCAATAATAACTTTGGCAGCACAGCTCCAGCTTCCTCTCCTTGGGCACCTCCCTCTCTCCAGGTGTGGCTGGAGGCTTTCTCCCCATTGTTTATTTGGGTACTTTAACAGCAAACACACATTTATATCCTGAGACAACAGGAACTCCTCTCTTGACTCGGGTCTGCTTTGCTCTTCCACTGCTTTTCAGGGAGTGTTTGGCCCCAAAGAATTTACAGAGCAAGATCAGAGGGTACATAAATGCATTCTAAATTAAGGGCAAAAGAAAAGAAGATACAAGAAAAGAAAAGCCCCCAAATGTATTTGAAATTAAGAGGAAAAGAAAACCAAAACAAACCCCCAGAAGATTTATGTGAATTAGTACACAGGCTGCAGTTCAGTTTCCATGTGTGATGCCTTTCCATGCTGCCTCTTTTCCTTCCCTCTGCTTTTTATTAAATAAAAACCAAACAAAAATACACAAGCTGTTGTAATTTCTGCAAAGGTTTCAGCCTTGTGCTGCTGCTAACTCCACGCTGTTCTCTCCTGAGCCCCAGGGATGCTGCAGGTGGGGCTGCAGCCAGTTTTTCTCCACAAACAAGAAAAGTTTGTTGGTTTGTGCCGTTTTCGGGGAGCAGCTGTGAGCCCTGAGCACCATGGGGTTGGGGCAGGTGGGATTTTAGGGATTTTAACAGCCTGCCCCCATTGGCTGTCTCTTAACTAGAGAATTCATATAAACGACAGAGAAAGGGTTATTTGGGGTTTTCTCTCCTCCAGCTCACAGGAGCTATGGGGAATAACCTGAGTGTGCCAGAGGAAGCTGAGGATGACAACACCTGCACAGTGAAGAGTTACCAGGTGAGCAACCCCACTCCCACCTCCCCTGGCTGCTGCCAGTGCAATTCCCACCCCTTGGATGTCCTAAAAACTCTGCTCTTTGTTATTTCAGCCCCTCTCCGAGTCTCCTGACGGTGTCACAAATGGATCTGTGGTGTTTGTTCAGACCCCTCCCCTGGCGGTGAATGGTGAAGGTAGGGGCTGGGAAGGGGAGTTGGAAGTGCCCCGGGGACTGAAGGAACAATAAATATTCATGAATGGCTTTGAATTAGGGGATGAACCCATGTTCCAGCTCTGACCTGGAAATGTGGCTCTGCAGAAGATGCAAAGTTGAAATACAACAAAAAGAAAAATAAGGAATTCTTTCCAGAGTTCTCTGGGTGCTGGTTAAGAGTTCTGGGGGTTTGGTTCTGCCCTGGCCCCAAAAAGTGGATTTACAGGGGGAGGGCTTTGTGGGGAGCATCACCAGGCAGGGCTGCTGGTCCCTGCCAGGTTTGTGACAAAACTCTGTCTGGGCTCTGGAGGAATTCCTGGGGCAACTCCTGTCTCCAACAAGCCCTGGGGGAATTGTTGCTGCAAGGAGCCCAAATTTAGGCTCTTGGAAAGGACAAAATGCAGCAGTGTAGGGGGATTATGGACTCTTGCAGAGGTTTGGGGGTTCTGGGGGACACTAGGAAATGTTTTACAAGAAGAGAACAGTTCATGTGTTGGAAAGGGATAAAAATCCATGTCCTGGCTATCTGCTCCTATCCACAGGATGATAAAGTCTTAGAAAAGTCAGGTTCATCATTCCTTCCTGCCACGAGGCTCCCTGCACACACAACAGTTCCCAAGTGGTTTTGAGAAGTTATCTCCACATATTCAAGGGCAGTTGCTCTCATCCACAGGCTCGTGGCTCTTCTTGCTTTTCACACCTCATTAATTCCTCCTTCCACCCCATGCTGGCTTTGGAGCCTTTCTGAGCAGCAGCAGCACCCCATCCACAGCTCTGAGATTCAGCCCCGCTCGTTGGTATTTATTCTGAAAAGAAACTTTTCTTTTCAGAAGAAATAAAACCCAACAATTCCTCTTCAATCTTATCAGCAAAGAAAATGCTTTATAATTCAGTGCTGAGAAAAACACTTTATGATTTGCTGTTAAGAGAACCTCTCAGTCTGTCACAGGCACTTGAAAAATCTAAATTTCGGTAAAAATAGTCAAAGGCTGGTGTGGGGAAATGCAAGTGGATCTGATAAGAGCTCAGAATCTCTGCTCCATGGCCCAAATTTCCCAGTGCCATCCCACCATAAGTCACTCTCAGCAGTTGCCTACCAGCAAAGCCTCTCTCTGTGTGCTTTTTTCTGGTGTAAACCAGCAGAGTTCTGAGGAAATAAAAGCCAGATGATTTTCACTGCCTGAAGACCTAGAAAATACATGTACATTTTATTCCTCGTATGTAAAATGAAGCATATGGGACTGCTTTACTTAAATGGATTACCTAATTAATGTAACTGCTAAATCAGTTTAAGTAGCAAGTTGAAAAATTAGACGTTCCTGTGTTGATATTTCTTGTATTTTAACTTTTTTTCCCTGTTTGAAAAGCAGTTAAAGTCACTGAGATAGCATTAAAATTTCCATGTCTGTGCAATGTAATTTTGGAGAAATACAAGTGATAGAAGTTATAACTAGGGAAACATAGTTGGTAGTATTTCTAAAATGAAATATTCTAATAAATAGCATTTTTGGGGCATAGAGTGAGGATTCTGGGGGGAGCCAGAGCTGAAAAAAAGGGAAACTTTTTGTACTTTCAGTAATAAAACCACTTGGTGAGCAACAGGTGAAGGGGAGAAGGTTGGGACTGGAATTTTCTGTCTCTGGTTTGCACTGCACAGAGCAGAAATGCAGCAGGAGGACAAAACAGGAACAATTCCTGTGGGCTTGGGTGGTAATTCCATGCAGATTGAAACAACGACCTGCTCCTAAAAAGAATTGCAAAGGAATTAAAAAGATTACAAAGGAGAAATGTTGAGTGAAGATGCAGCTCCTTTGTCCCAGAGGGCAAATCCCATTCAGCAAATCCTGCTAGCAGCCAGAACCCAGCAGAAATCCTGATTGCAGCAGCTCCTGTGCCTGTAAGGCCTGAAATGTGAAATATTTCAGGGATGCTTTTAGAGAATGAGCGTTGCTCTTCTTGCTGCTGACTCCTCTGCCCCTATTTCCATTAATTTCTGGAAATCTGCAGGTAAATAACAATGCAAGTTAAATTAGAGAAACAAGATGATTCTTGCAGCAAAAAAAATTATGTGCATGGAATAGTGGAGTAAGATGGCAAAACATATTAGTGTGTTCCTTCTTTTTTTAAAGAAGGAGGAGAGTTTTAGTTTGGATTAGTATTTGCTGCAGAAATTCATTCAGGGCTGTTGTAGCCTGTGCTGCCCTGCCCTGCTGGAATTCCTGGTGCCAAATGTTGCCTTGTAGCCCTTAATGGTTTCTTCATGGCCATTAAAATATTTTGTCCACGATTATCTGAACACCGGGGGAGAAAAAAGCGCTGTGTGGCTCTAATTCCATGGCTAAGCAAAATATTTGTTTGTGGCTGGCTTGTACTCAAAAGAGAGGAATGAGATGAGCTTTAAGGTCCCTTCCAACCCAAACCATTCCACAATTCTGTGATATTGCATTAACCATTGATCTGCTCTATTTTTTTTTCTAAGTCAAGGAAAAAAAATGTTGGTTTAATTTGCCAAATTCCAGGGGAAAAAAGTGTTCTTACAGAAGAGGGACTTTGTGTAGCCACAAAATTTCCTTTTTAACACGCCCTGATGAAGGGAAGGGGAAAGAGAGACAAATCTTCTGGAGTGTGACTGTCTTTTGTTAAAGAGTTGAAAGGCAAATACCCGAGCAGGAGTAGTCTGAAATGCAGTCTGTAAATTGTGTATTGATTTTCATCTCAGAGCAGCTTTTAATCTCAGTCACAACGAGCAGCTTTGATCTGCTCAAAGACCTGACCTAGAATTTGGGGGGTTTTGCTTATCTTTGCAATTCTGCCTCTGGATTGAGGAATAAATGTGGAAAAAAGATGGCACTGGTGTGTCTTTAAAAACAAAAATAACACAGACTTTTCACCCAAATACTGGAGTTTCAGGGCTTTTCTCCCTCAGTTTGCCGTGCCTGTTCAGTGCAGCCCAGCACTGGTGGGATCTGCTCTGCCTCTGGCTGAGCAGAATTTCCTTGGAGCAGCTGGAGCTCTCCTGACACAACACACACACAGCAGAGCCCAGGCAGTGACATTTCCCAGGGCTTCCATTCCTTCCATGATAATTTGAGATAAAAGGAGCCCCATAGGTTCCTGAGCTGCTACTTGCTTAGCTGGTTTTCTTAGTGCTGAGCTTATATCCCCATTTTTGAGCCAAAGCCAGTTTTCCTGTGGTTCATTTGTTATCTGTTACATAAAGCAGAAGTTCAGCATCTCTTACAATTATTTTCCTATGGATATTGTTTCTCCTTTCTTTAGCTGGGGAAGGGTTTTTGATTTTTGCTTCCTTCCCAAGTTTCCAACTATAATTAGAAGTTCTTTTTCTAACTTTACTACAGGAGGCTCAGGAAACTACAGCTGATCCTTAGTGGCCCCAGCTGAGTATCTCAGTAGGTGCTGGAGTAGCTGTAATTTGCACTTTTGCTGTGCCTGTCAGGACATGGAAATCGAAACTGGTGCTATGAAATATCCCAGGAGGATACTGCTGCTCCAAGATTCCTGCCAGTGGAGCTGATTCCTTACAGGAACAGCAGAAGAACAATGCAGGGGTAAAAAAATTCATGTATGCCCAGAACGAGGCTGATTCCTTACAGGAACAGCAGAAGAACAATGCAGGGGGGAAAAAAATTCATGTATGCTCAGAAAGAAGAAATATTTGCCTGCCAGAGCAGGCTGTGCTGAGGAGCTCTGGCCACTCTGCCCAAAACATGAAGAGGGAGCAAAAGGCTCCTTAAGAATGATCCAAGGGGAGTAGTTGGGAGCCAGGTCCTAGCAGCTGTGGGGTGCTGGGGCAGCTGTGGCTGCTGTCACCACAGCCCTGACAGTGTCAGCTGTGCCTCTGCTGCTGGCACATGTTTGGGTGAAGTCCTTTGAGGTGATGCTGGCACGTTCCACTGCACCCCCAGCACGGGCAGGAGCTGCTGGAGAGGGTCCAGAGGATGCTCCAGGGTGGGCAGAGGACGGGGCAGCTCTGCTGGCACAGCTGGCATTGTTCCCCCGGACAGGAGAAGCTCTGGGGGGAGCTCAGTGTGGCCTGGAGGAGCCAAGAGCAAAGATGGAGAGAGGATTTCCAAGGGGTGGAGGGACAGCACACAGGGAATGGCTTCACACTGACAGAGGAGAGGTTTAGGTTGGATATTAGGAAAAAATCCTTCCCTGTGAGGGTGGGCAGGCCCTGGCACAGGTGCCCAGAGCAGCTGGGGCTGTTCTGGATCCCTGGCAGTGCCCAAGGCCAGGCTGGACAGGGCTGGGAGCCCCTGGCACAGTGGGAGGTGTCCCTGCCATGGCAGGGTGGGGTGAGGTGGTCCCCAAGGTCCCTCCCAACCCAAAGATCCTGGGGTTCATGGAAAACCCCCCCTTCCTGCTCAGCAGGAGCAGCCTGGGCTGTGGTGCAGGGTCCCGTGGGGACACTCAGCCGTGGGATTAAAGCTGTGGGAAAAGGAAGCTCCAGGCTGGGCCCTGGGCTCTGCTCTGCTGCTGGAGCTCCCAGGGATGTCCCCAGGATCCCTGGAGCTGCCAGGCAGGACAGAGTGATGGATGCAGACACATCAGCCCAGGACCTGCTAATGTTTTGTGGGATTATCCAGAATCCCTGGAGAGGTGGGAAACCGGGGGGAATTTTGCTGTGAAAAGCCAAGGGGTAGCTTTGAAAGCTGGGATCTAAAATTGTTCTGTTTTCTTAATCTCAGAGAATTTCACACTGAAGATCTGTGCTGTGTGGAAGGTGTGTTTCAGTCAGGTTTTTTTTGGTGTCTGGGGTTTTCTTTCTCTTAAAGGAAAATGTGAAAGGCATAATATTGACTAGACTATTACAATTATAATTTGAAACAATTTCAATTTTACATTGAAACTGACAATTTTCCCGTTCTAATTCAGCAAGCTGGTTTGAGCCTGACAGTTTTCCACAGTTATAATTAAATACATCTAAATTCATCCTTGAAATGTGCTGATGACTGACAGGGAAATCAGATCCATATTCCAGTCCAAGTAGGGAAGAGAAGCTGAAGCTCAGGGGGAGCTGTAAGATTTACCTCTGACAAGACTCTTTTTTATTGGGGTTTCACACCACATCATCTGTGCTTCTGCCTCCCAGCCACAAAACTGATCCAGGCAAGATTATTTTTCTTTTGTCTTGTGTAAAGCAGGATCTGCCTTTTCCTGCCTGTGAATCCCATACCAGGGATTTTCACCTCAACAGTGCTATCAAAGCACCATTGTTTTATAAAATCACAAAATATATTTTTAAATAAAAATGATTTTTTTCATCTAAGGTGTGATGGCCACATGTGTACACATGGAATTATTTGTGTGAGTGTTGGGAGAGGAAATGTGATTCTGAGCCGTAGTTTGTGAGAGAAAAAACGTAAAATGTAAAGAGAAATGTAAGGATAAGAAACCTGGCTGGGATGTGATTTATCAGTATTCAGATCAGGCTCAAAAATAACCCACAGGCAGAGGAGAGGTGCAGGTAGGAGCTGCACTGAGGAGAGCAGGCAGCAGGGTGAGGAAAAATGAATGAGATCAGTTCTGGCTGCACAGAACTCCCTGCTGGGAGTTTGGCCAGCCAGGAAATGGGATCAGTCCTGGTGCTTCCCATTCCTTTTGTTACTTGAGCTTTGACAGAGGAGCAGGTGATATCTTGATACATATTTTTGCGTATCACTGATTTTAATTTGCTGTCCACTGGGCTGAGGAGTGCCAAACAGGGCTGGTGTCTGACTTTGACACTGCAGGGGGGTTGTGCAGTGGGTAAATTTGCACTGATTTCAGTGAGGAGTTGCAGGGGGGCAGAAATCAGCTCTGAGGATGAGCAGAGGGTAAAATTCACACCGATTTCAGTGAGGGGTGTCAGAACTCAGCTCTGGGGATGAACAGAGGGTAAAATTTGCACTGATGTCAGTGAGGGATGGCAGAAATCCGCTCTGGGGATGAACAGAGAGTAAAATGTGCACTGATTTCAGTGAGGGATGGCAGAAATTTTGTGTGAGTGTTGGGAGAGGAAATGTGATTCTGAGCCGTAGTTTGTGAGAGAAAAAACGTAAAATGTAAAGAGAAATGTAAGGATAAGAAACCTGGCTGGGATGTGATTTATCAGTATTCAGATCAGGCTCAAAAATAACCCACAGGCAGAGGAGAGGTGCAGGTAGGAGCTGCACTGAGGAGAGCAGGCAGCAGGGTGAGGAAAAATGAATGAGATCAGTTCTGGCTGCACAGAACTCCCTGCTGGGAGTTTGGCCAGCCAGGAAATGGGATCAGTCCTGGTGCTTCCCATTCCTTTTGTTACTTGAGCTTTGACAGAGGAGCAGGTGATATCTTGATACATATTTTTGCGTATCACTGATTTTAATTTGCTGTCCACTGGGCTGAGGAGTGCCAAACAGGGCTGGTGTCTGACTTTGACACTGCAGGGGGGTTGTGCAGTGGGTAAATTTGCACTGATTTCAGTGAGGAGTTGCAGGGGGGCAGAAATCAGCTCTGAGGATGAGCAGAGGGTAAAATTCACACCGATTTCAGTGAGGGGTGTCAGAACTCAGCTCTGGGGATGAACAGAGGGTAAAATTTGCACTGATGTCAGTGAGGGATGGCAGAAATCCACTGTGGGGATGAACAGAGAGTAAAATGTGCACTGATTTCAGTGAGGGATGGCAGAAATCCACTGTGGGGATGAACAGAGAGTAAAATGTGCACTGATTTCAGTGAGGGATGGCAGAAATCCCCTCTGGGGGCTGAGCAGCAGCACGGGGTCCCCAGTGTGCCCTCAGACCAGCTCACCCCAGCGCGAGTGCCCGTGGTGCCCGTGGCTGTGGTGTCTGTGGCTGGCGGTGCCCATGCCCGTGGGTGATTCCCTCTCTCCTGATGTTGCAGTGGATGCCAGGGTGCCTGAAGGCTGGCTCCCCTCTGGGGGCTGAGCAGCAGCACGGGGTCCCCAGTGTGCCCGTGCTCACCCCAGCGCGAGTGCCCGTGGCTGTGGTGCCTGTGGCTGGCAGTGCCCATGCCCGTGGGTGATTCCCTCTCTCCCGGTGTTGCAGTGGATGTCAGGGTGCCTGAAGGCTGGGATAAGGTGCCCGTGGGTAATTCCCTCTCTCCCTGTGTTGGTGCCCGTGGGTAATTCCCTCTCTCCCTGTGTTGCAGCAGATGCCAGGGCACCTGCAGGACAGGATAACGTGCCCATGGGTAATTCCCTCTCTCCCTCTGTTGCAGTGGATGCCAGGGCGCCTGCAGGCCGGGATAACGTTCCCGTTTCTTCGGCGGAGCCAGGCCCCGGTGCCCGGGCGGGCGGGCAGAGCGGCGGGAGCGCTGCCAGGAGGGCCCTGCCAGCTGCCAGGCCCCGCTCCCTGCTGGCCTTCCCCTGGGCCGTGCCAGCGCGTTCCGAGGAGCCGGCGGCGGCTGCAGCCCCCGGAGAAGCCACCCTTGATGCCACCGGGCTGAACAAAGGCCCGAGTGAGGGCACGGCGGGGCCCGGGGCAGCTGCGCCGCAGGAGGGCGGCCATAAAAACCCGGGCCAGGCCCCGCTGCAGGACGTGGAGCTCGCGGGGACACCTGAGGGACACGATGTGGCCGCCCCAAAGGGCAAACAAGTGACGCTCTTGGACAGGATCTTCAGGCTGGAGAAGGGCAAGGGAAGGACACGAGGGGACCCTGAGGAGGGAAGGCAGGGGCTGGACGTTCCCAACGGGAGCATCGCGGCCGGCGCGCCCCACGGGGAACCGCTGCGCGAGGCAAGTGCTTCATTTATATCCATAAAATAGCCTTTAATTTCGTTTTTGCTGGTGAAACCTCTTGGGAATGTTGGCAGAGTGGGGTAACTCTGTGTGGGGTGGGAATGAATCAGTGTTGCCCTGAAAATGACCACAGGTAACACTCCAGGACAGAGGTGTGGAAGATGAACCTGTGGCCAAGGAGTGAAGCTGTGTCTCATGACTAATTCCTGACCTCCAGTTTAATTCAATTTATAATTCCCTTTTTTACAATAAAGGTTTGGGCAACACAGCTCCAGCTGCCAGGAGGAGCAGCTGCCAGCTGCAAATGAAAGCAGAAACACCTGAAACTAAACCAGTTTCTTGTGCTTTAGGACCTTGGAGGTTGACACTGGATGGGTTTCTAAAAGTTCTTTGGTGTGTCGTTTTTAAAACAGCCCTACTTCTCTAGCAATAGTTGCTGGATACCCTATTCAGCAAAATTAAGACTATTATGCAGCAATGATTTTTGTACTCCAGCTTATTGTGATGTTTTAGTCAAAGAAAAGTGGTTCATTAGAAATGATTTTACAGGATGAGAATGTGATATAAGAAACTACGGATCTTAAAGAGCACCCTGCTCAAAGGAGCTGAAATATGAGTTTAGATTTTACACTTCCTGCCAGATCTGATGTCAACAAAGGTATAATTTTCATGTAATTAACGCCAGAAAAAGCCCATCCTCTGAAAGGGAATAATGGTGTAACTCTGAGTTCTGCTGGAGAGGTGGAATGCAGGAGTTGGTGATCAAATTGAAACCCTGTCTAATGTCAGGAACAGGAGGGGGAAACCAATGTGTAAATAGCACTTTAGTAATTGCTTTTATTGGCCAGTTCAGGCTTACAAATAAGATGGTGATCACTGATGCTTTGGGTAGTGTTGAACTTACCTCATGGGATACTCACTGCTTACACTGCCAGCATTGCAAGTTGCCCCAAAATTCTTTTCTTTTTAATCTTTGTCTTCTCTATCTTAGACCTTCTCAGATTTGAAGATCACATTTCTTGTATAAATTTACACATTGTAGTATTTTTCTGAGGGTTCATTTTTAAGAAAGAACTGTTCCATTTTTCACCCCTGCCCCTCAGGAGTGCTCCCATCACTGCTGTTTCAGACAGCTCAGGATGCACATTTAAAGAAGCCATAAAAGCATTCAGCACCTAAGCAGAACAGGGTGGATAATTTGCAATGAATCTTCTGTTCAGGGCACACTGGCACTTCTGTGTTCAGCCTCTCAGAATGAAGCTTTTCAACACCCCAAATTCCTGCAGATATTTTTGACAATCACACAACAAGTCCTCCCCGTGGCTTGCAGGAATTGTCTCTTTTCCCACCAAATGCCAAATTCTCATTTCCTATTTTGCTGTCACTGCAGTGACACTGCTTTCATTTACAGAGTGGGGAAGGTCACAGCTGGTGCTGCTGAAGGAATGCTGTGAAAGTCCAAGGAAAGAACACTTTGGAGCAGTTTTAACCAAAATTCAGAGTTAAACATTGCTGGGAGCAAACAGTGCTGTTGAAAGCTCAGGTGAGGCAGAGCATGATCAGGGACAGAAGGGAATCTAAATCATTCTCCCAATTCAAGCAGGGAAGCACACTGCTCATCCAGATCAAGCTTTATTATATCAATAACACCTGGATTTCTCATTAATTCCTACTGATTGGCAGTTCTGCTCCAGTCCCCTTGTACCCATCCCCATCCTGGAGGTGCCTGATGGGAATAACCTGGAAATCCCAGGCACAGCTGAGCCCTGGGTGGTGCTGGGGCTGGCTGGGAGTGTCTGCAGCTTTTTGGAACATTCCTGAGGACAGGTCTGGTTATCAAAAATGCCTCTATACTTCCTAGGTGTTTGCTTAAAGCTACACATGGACATCTTTGAGGAATCACAAAATTTGGGTTCACTGGGTAAAATGACAGATCTGGATCACTGGGAGAGGAATTTTAAACATACAGTTGAATTTTTTTGGCTATAATTTTGTCTTTGGTTCTTTCAGACATGAAAAGGAATATATGGTGGGGGCAGAGAGGAGTTAAGCACCTTTTTGGGGGAAAATACATCAGCTAAACACTGCAATGTGTTGCCAAATTTAACTCAATCCCTAAAACAAAGGCTGTGGCTCTGCCTTGCAGCACAGTTGCCTTCTGTTCCCTCTGAAGTTCCAATTCTCCTGCTGGATGGGAGAATGACCAAGCCTAATTTAATTACTGTTACTGTACTAACTACAGACTGTTACCAAAAAATCATACTAAAAATCAAGATATCGCTGCCAACAGCTCCTCTTTTTTCTCTTTCTCTCTCTATTTTTTTCTTTGTGGATTATGACTTGTAGTATCTGTAAATGCTAAAAGCAAAGTTTCCCTGCACTGAGTGCCAAGACAAAACAAACAGCGTTGCTGGTGAGTAAGAGAGAGGCTCCACAGTTGTAGCTTAAGAGCTGCACAAACATTCTGTGTTTGCTGAGCCACTCTTTATTTTTGTGGTCTACAAAACTACATTCAGAGCGCAGCATAATTAAAACAAGGGCAGAATTCATGAATTCATGAAGCATTTACTATGTAAGCCAAAGAAAAGATAAATTATATGCCTGAAATGTTTCACTGAGCCATGATTCATGCAAACAAAAGTGCTGGCAGGAATACATTCTTTTGATATGTTTGGGGTGGTTTTTTTTTCCTGATGACTGAACTGAAACTACAGTACATTTAAGGTGTTTATTACCCCCAAATTTAACTTCTCAAAGACACGAATTGAACATTTACATAGCATCTATTAACTCCTAATACTGATCTTCTGTTATTCCTGGAGTTTCTTTCATTATTTACCCCCAGGGCTTTGAGCAGGGAGCTGCCACAGAGGCTTTTGTGGCGATTTGGTGGCTCTGCAGACGTGATCCTGCAGGGCTGTGTGTTCTCTGTGCCTGATTTCTGTGCTGATGGCCCCAGCCTGGGCTCTTCCTGCAGGAATATTCCCATGGGAGCACAGGATGGATCACAGCCCCTCTCCAAGGCCAGACTGGAGTGATTCTCTATAGCCAGGGGCAGCCTCGGCTTGGGAAGGGTCATTTTTATTGGGAAAAAATAGAATAAAAGCATTCTAAAGAACCCTTCCCCGTGCTGGGTGATTAAAATAGCACAATAATTGTATAATATGGATTTCTTTATGTCACCAGTGGAAGGAATAGACTTCAAATGCTTTAAGACTTCAGAGGGATCAGGACAGCTGGGTGTGGAGTGGGCAGTGCCAGCAGAATACAGGAGTTGAAATGGGCACATCAAATGGGGCACATCTGAGCTGTGAGGTTGGAATTCAGGGATTTTGGGATGGCCCCACTCCTCAGGATCTGCAGTGGCTTTCTCTTCAATGTGACTTTGTCAGGGAGATGTCCTGGATCAGCCAGAGGTGCTGGAAACAGCTGTGTGCAGCTCCCTCCCGAAGTGCATCCCAAGGCCAGGGCTTGGGCTTGTCTGTAATTCCAAAAAGTTATTAAATCTGTTTCTTTTCTTGATAGCATCCAGCTCGAAAGAGTGTGATGGCACCAAGCACTTGGGCTGTGAATCTAGTTTTGTTTAGCAGCACATCATCCTCCTCCTCCTCCTGCCTCAGTTGTCCCTTGAACACCTGGAGCAGAGCCAGCATTTTCCATGGCACCAGAGCTCTGCGTGTGCCACCCCGGGCTGGCGTGGCCACGCGTGTCCTGCATGGGACAGATTGTTCCTGGGGCCCCTCTGGGGCTGGCAGCTGCACAAAGTGGTGTGTGAGACCCTTCAGTGGCCTGCTGAGCATTCCAGCAGTGCCCTGCTGCTTCCTGGGCCAGCTTGCAAAACTGGGTGGGTGGGGAATGACACTGAGGTCCCTTCTGGCATTTCAGTGTCTGCTTTAACTCCCTGTGTTCTGCTGGCACTGCCCACCCCACGCCCAGCTGTCCTGATCCCTCTGAAGTCTTAAAGCATTTGAAGTCTATTCCTTCCACTGGTGACATAAAGAAATCCATATTATACAATTATTGTGCTATTTTAATCACCCAGCACGGGGAAAGGTTCTTTAGAATGCTTTTATTCTAATTTTTCCCACTGAAAAAAGCACTGAGCTATAATGGGCTGGTTAGGGAAAAATACCTTGGATGTCACTTAGGCATTCTTTGGTGTCACTCTCTCCTGCACACTTTTCGTGAGCTTTCCTGTGCAGGTTCAAGACAAAGGTGGCCAAAATGAAAGGTAAATTCAGTGTGAGAAGTGCTAAACTCCCCAAAACTGGTTCAAGAAGTGTTTTTTTTAGAAGCAGACCCTTGTCCAGCTGTCTAAACAGAAAACAATACCTAAATATTACCTACTTTTGTGAGTGCTTGAGCACTAGAAAATGTTTTGGGGCTCAGGGAAGTGTAATTCCACGAAGAGAAGAGGCAGCTCTGTCTGGCTAAGAGGAATTACTTTGATTTGTTGCCTTTTTCCTTCTTTTAATGTGTGTCACATTGGTGTTTGATAGATAAAAATGATTCCTGGCATGGCAAAATAGAGAATGAGAAGCCATCTTTGGATGGTGCGCTCAGACACGGAGCTGGCAGGGCCAAAATCTCAGCATTTTGCTCCCATTTTTCACAAGCTCAGCCTCGAAAAGACAAAAGTGGAGTTTGGGGCTCGCCCTGTGCTTGTTGTGGCTGAGAACAACGTTCCCCCAAGCAGCAGCAGCGCTGAGTGTCTGAGGAGAGAGGGGAAGGAGAGGGATAAATGCTGGATTGTTCTGCCCGTGGGCTGGGCAGGAATGGTTGGAATTGCTGTTGTGACTCCCAGCGAGTCACAAAAGCCACTTTTGCATTCCACTGGGCATCAGGCAAGCTGGCACTGAGCAATCTGTGCCCCCTTTTATTTTTTAGGAGATAGATGAGTGCAGCCAAGAGGAGCTCGGGCAGGACTCTGCAGGTGAGCGGGGCCCGGCTGCTGCAGCACCTGGGAGGGCACGGGCACAGCAGGACAGTCCCCAGGCGGCTGCAGGACAGGGCTCAGTCATGAGCTTCCTCAAAACACTGGTAAGTTCTGCCTTGCCTTTCCATCTCTTTGGGTTTCAACTGTTTCCAAAAATCCCCTGTGGGAGTGGAGAAGTTGTATAAATTCAGTAAAATGTGTCAATAAATGTAAAATGTTCTCTGTCATGGGGGAATGAGGAGGGTGTGGGGGGACACTGAAATGATCAAGTGAGTGCCACCTGCTCTGCAAACTTCCACTTCTACACAGATACAGATCTTGAACTGTCTCAAAGACTTCCTGCTTGATATTCCTTTTGTACCACCTCTAAAAGCTCATTTTTATTAATTGTTTAGAAGCTTGAATAGTAAATATTCACTCCAGGCATTTTTCATCGTAGCCATTACGTTGTTCTCAAGGAATATTTGCATTATCAATTTTCCCACTTGAGGCAAGCAATATTTGTATTTTCCCTTTGTGCAAATAAAACCTGCTGATTTCAAACTTATCTTTTCGATCCTTTGAAAGGCTGGGTTGAGTGACCTTTTTTTTTTTTTTTTTCAAATTCCTTTAAGGTCTCCCCAAGCAAAGCTGAAGCCAAAAGTGATTCTGAAGACAAGGTAGGCAGTTCCTTGTTCATTGGTCATTAGGTGTTTTTCACACAGGGATTTCCTCTTCATTTTGTTGGGTTTTTTCTCTAACTGATGTCATAATTTGAAGTAATTTCAAATATTTTTCCGCTGGATAAATTGAAAAGAAAGAGGCTAAACAGTGCAATTCTTAATATCATCTGTTACAATCAAAATCTGTTGTGTTTTCTGCAAGCTTGGTGATGACTGGTGACACTTTTGGTTGTTTCTCTGACTTGTTTTTGATCTAAAATTTCCGTGAAAACTTTGAGTCCACAAAAAAGTTCTGTTTGTTCGTACAACAGTTTTCCTTGTGCCTTGAAAAAACTTTATTAAGAAAAAGGAATAAAACCCTAAAAATGGAAGTGGTTTTCCCGTGCAGATATTAGCCAAAATCACAACATTTTTTGGGTTTTCTCCTATTTTTTTATTCTTTTGTCCTATTCAATAGTCTTTGCTGCAAGCTTGGTGAGTACATGGGGGATTTAATTCTGAATAACTCTATAAATTATTCTCAATAACTCTGAATAACTCTGAAAATCATCAAATAGGATGAAGCTTTTCCAAGCAATGCAGAAAATGCAGTTATTAAAGTGCCCTGCCTCAGGGAGACTTGCAGCTCTTCCCAGAGGTGGTGAACAATCCAGTTTGGATGGAAACAGCCCCATTTCCTTCCCTGACTCTGTCACCTGTGCCAGGTGACTGCTGGTGCTGCTGTCATTTGGACAGGAATATTCTGGGTGGGTTTGGTTTGCTGGCACACCTGGCAGGGCAAACAAACCCAGGTGACTTGCAGGATGTGCAAACTCCTTACAGGAGATTAAGTGGGAGTTCTTTTTTTATTGGGAATTCCTTTATCTGATATGGCATTTGTACTTCAATAAAGGGGAAATATGTCGAGGAGGTTAATTTATCAGCTCCCAGGTAGAAAAGGTGCAGATTTTTTGGCTGATAGGAAATAATGGTCATTTTTTTTCCCCCAAAAAACAACTGAAGTGTGTTAAAGGTAAAGCTTAGCTAAGTGAAGTTTTCCTGAGTGCCATGGGGCTCTTGGGTGGCTGCTGTGCCTTCAAATGGTAGAATCATGGAATATCCTGGAGCTGGAAGGGATCCAAAGGTTCATCCAGCCCTGTCCCTGCACAGACCCCCAGCAATCCCACCCAGAGCCTTGTCCAGGCACTTTTGGAGCTCTGAAAGGTTTGGAGCAGGGAATGATCTCTGGGGAGCCTGGGCAGTGCCTCAGCATCCTCTGAGGGGGGGAAACCCTTCTGTTTCTGTAGGGTCAGGCTCTTATCAGTGCTGGCTCCAGCTCTAATCAGCTGCTGGGCCACGTGTGCTGCCAGCAGCCGGGCACACCCTCGGTGGTGGCAGTCCCTCAGATGCCTTGTGCAGGCTGAGCTAGAGCAGAGACTGGTTGGAGCTAAAGAATAAAGCAGGGATTTATGATTTATGATTTTATTTATGATTTATGATTTATGGATCCACCTTGGGCATCACAAGAGCCCAGCCAGGGCTGCAGCCAAGATGAACCCAAATGGTCCCAAAATGAACCCAAGATGAACCCAAATGGTCCCAGAATACATGATGGTCACGGGGTCTCTCCCTGGGATCAGCTCTGCTCCATGTGCACATTGCAGTTCAGTGTCCAATTCCAGCTCAGCCCCTGCACTCCCATCCTGCTTGTTTTTCTCTCTCCAGCCCACGGGGTTTGTGCTCCTGGGCTGAGATTTGGATCATTTGTCCTTGGTGCCCAGCTGGAGCAGGAATTGTTTTGTCTCCCTGCTCTGTGCAGAGAGCTCACCATCCCATAATATGAACCCAGACCCACACACTAAAGCAGCACAGAACCTGAAAAATAGAAAAAAAATAGAGAATAGAAAAGCTAAACCTAAAGGCATCACCTCGGTGGCTGTCCCTCAGTGGCTGTCCCTTCCTCTGTGCCCACACCAGTTCAGAGCCTGGTCACACCTGCTCAGGCAGTTCCTACAAACCAAGAGGTTGTTTGCACAAGGTCTGCCCCAAGTCACTGACCTCACCCTCCTGTGGCAGACCCTGAGCTGATCCTGTGTCATTCTGTGTTCAGGAATTGCAGGAATTTTGCAGGGAAAAGGGTCATTTTTGCTGTGAGAATTAGTAAGGAATAATCCTTCATTCTCCTCCATGCCAGGTAGTCAAAGGCATCTTCCTGCTTTAAATCCTGGGACCTCGAGCAATTAATTAATTAATTTCAAGGACATTAATGCAAGCTTGAAATATTTAGGCAGTGTATATCATGAATATTCACACTGCCCTTTTGCTAAATAATGCATTATGTAAAACATTTTAAAGTCCCTATTATGCTGCAATAAAAAGACTGAAGGTTCCTCCAAAGATTTATATATTTGCCTGTTTTAAATTATAAATCCTAAATTGCTTCTTCATGACTTGGAAAGGCAGATGTTTGTGGGATTTAGGTTTCAGTTTAGTGGAGATTTTAGAGGGAAAGTTGTGGTTTAATTTGGAATTGGGTGGATTGCATTGGCTTTTATTTTATGTTGGTGTGAAAGAAGCTCTGAGGAGAGCTGAGAAATCACTCAGGAAAAACCCCACAATTTATCCAGAGCTAAGAGGGAATCTTTTCCTTTAATCCCACGTGTGTGATGATGGAATAATGTCTTTGATGAAGCAAATATTTGCAGCAAACACTCACCTGCCCCTGCTGTTGTGCCAAGGGCTCCAAGGCGGAGAAGGGCCCTGGGGGACAGCCTGGCCCGAAGGCAGCAGCAGAATCCCCCTCCAAAGGAGCCAAGAAAAAGAAGGCACAGAGCCCCAAGCTGGGCCACAGCACCTTTAGCAAACTCTTTAGGCACAAGGTTGGTATGGAGCTCCAGGAGCAGCAGAACCCTGAGCAATCACAGCTGGCTCCTGGCACAGAGAGAGAGGAGTTCTTTGCCCACATCTGGCCAGATGTGCAGAGCTCTGGAGGTTCCTGGGGGAGCATTTCTGTGCTGGGGGGATGGGAACCATCCTGAGCTGCACCTTCCTCTCCTTGGGCCCTCTGTGAGCTCGGGGTTCTGGAGCAATAATTCCTGGAGCAATAATTCCTGGAGCAATAATTCCTGGAGCAATAATTCCTGCCAGTTACTAACACAGACTAAACCCCCCTGGCCACTAAAAACCAAAATCAGAGGTGCTGACAAACAATGAATTGTGTAGAGGTGACCAAAGCCTGAAACCAGAGAGGTTTGGGAGCTCAGCCCAGCCACAGGTCGGGTTTTATGTCATTAATGTACACCGGAACTTGGCTGAAATCGGCATTTGGGGCATCTGGTACAGCACAGAGGAGGCTGGAACATGGAATTCCCTGCAGAAATAGGGATTTCTCACTGCAACCAAGAAAATTAATTTATTTTAGTTGTGATTTAGTTTAGAGTAGAAAAAAAAAATCTGGGTTAGATGAGTACTTTAAAGGGCTCAAAATGCACAGTCAAGCAAATGGCTGTTTCAGAGGACATAAGCTTTTATGTTAAAAACCAGAAATTACCAAAAACTTTTGGCCTCAAGCTCTGTATTTAAAGATTTCTGCATTCTCTGAAGATAATCATGGCAGGCAAGCAGAGAATTGCAGCCTTTTAGCCCAGAGAATGCAGAAGCAGGGACCCTTCCAGTGGGGGAGGATCATAATTAATATTTAGTTCCCCCTCCAGACACCCACATGGAATTTCTGGTGAGTAGGGGGCTTTATAATCAAGAGCATAGGGCATTCTTTAATACATTTTAAAACCAAAAATGTTCTTTCCACTATCTCATTTTTGAGGGAAGAAAAATAATCAGCATATTACTGAAGGAATAATAATATTCCAAATGAATTCAAGTGTGCAGTTCTTCCCAAAACCTTAAATTTGATATCTCAGCTTCATTTCTTAATAAAATTAAAATATTAATTACTTGTTCATAATGAATTAAGGTAAAATTGGTTCCTGGTAAAAACCAAACCTGACTGGCATTTTTTAAGATTCCATTCCAATAATTAATATTGCAATAAGCTGTAGTGAGAAAATTCCCTGGAATATTTAATGGAAGTTTAAAGAGTTTGAGTTAACAGAAATATTGTTTTTCAGGCTCCTGTGTTACAAAATCCTAACTCTAAAGCAGCTTGTGATGCACTTCCCATCCATGCACATTTGCCCTTCATTCCATGCTAATTTTGCATATAACTGTCCTGATTTATGGAATTTTCCTTGGAAGAGAAGGGTGAATCCCATGCTGAAGCCAGCCCATGGCATCCTCACCCTTCTTCTCACCTCCCGTTCTGGATGTTTGTCAAAACTGACCATAAAAAAGAGTTCTTGGCTCCTGCAGAATAACTGCCCTGCAAAATGTCTCACCTGCCCTGCAAAATATCTCACCTGTTCTGTGGAGAACTTCCCAAAGTCTGCCCAGGCTGCTGGAGCCTGTGCAGATGGGTTGGGTGGGTTTTTGTGGCTCAGGTCATTCTTCAGTGTGAGGGGTAAGAGATGCAGCTAACATCCCTGGCCAAGGAGGAATTTAACTGGCTCCTCCTTTGTGTATCCTGCTGAAATCAGGAGCCCCATCACTCAGTGTTTGTGCTGAAGGAAATCCCACCTCATGCCCAAAAATACGAGAGCTGGGTGGAACCAGCATATATATTTTTAAAGAACAAGTTGAGGACTACAAGCACAAAGGATGCAGCACCAAGCTGGTGCAGGTACAAGGATGGGACCTGGCATTCCCTCCAGCAGCCTCCACTCTTCCAGGGATCAGTTTCCATGGCTGCAGGAGCCAGGACTTGCACACACATTCACTAAATATAAAATAATTGGTGACACAGACAATTGCTGGCCTGTGGAACTGCAGTGCTGCCATGGCCTCAGACAGACTCATCTTTGTGTTTTGTTTCCCTTCAGGCTGCGAAAGAAACCCAGCAGACAACCAACACCAAAGTGAGTAGGAGGGGTCGAATTATCTGTGCAATGCAGGAAAAGGGGAATTCTCACTGGTGTGTTCAGTCTTTAAGTGTTTTAATTTCTTTATCTTGTTCTGGCTTTGCTGTGTCTTTGCTTCCTCTGCCCAAGGAAGCAGGGGTGGAGCGGCCGGGGAGAACGGGGAGAGGGAGTGCTCACCTGCCCCAGGTGATGGCTGTGGATTTGTTCCCCACAATCTCCATGTCCTCTCATTCCCAGAGCCCTGAGCAGCCTCCTGTGACCTGTGTCAAAGCAGACAGAAATGTCCCTCCCTCCCAAGAGGCGCCGGCCAAGCAGAACCCGAAGGCGCCGGAGGCCGCGGCCCCTCCGCAGGCAGTGAGCACCGATCCCCCCCGGGAGGGCACCAAGGACAAGGGCTCGGCCACTCCTCTGCCCCTCAGCAAGCTCTTCTGGAAAAAGGTACAGGGGAATGGAGGAATGGAGTTCATTCCTGCCAAACCCGCCACGGGCAGCAGCTCCCACGTGTCCAGCAGCAGGGGCATGAATTAACTGTGGTGCTTTTCATGTTTTTATGGAATCAGGAATGTTATCCTTTCACAATTCAGTGCTTCTGTTAAATATCCCCCAGAGATCACAGTGTTCTTTACTAAAATGTATCATTAGTAGAGACAAAGCTCTAAAACCTCGTTTGATTTCTTTGCTTTAATATCTGAAAAGCTGGGATCAGGGGGATCTACTCTTACTCAGCAGAAATTGCTCTGTGACAGAGCCAGTCAGCCTTTGATTTGGGGTCTCAATTGCTTAGGAAGACACATAGTTCCTCAGGTTAAATAATAATTTTAACTAAATTTAGGGCTAACTCTAAAAACACAGTTCCTGTTTCCACGATCCATATGGTTTATAAGCTGAAGTTTATTCATTCTTAATTTCATTTCACAGAAGGGCTGTATGAAACTTTACTGAGTCACTGGATGTTAAATAACTGCTTTTCTGGGCTTCTGCTCAAGTTCAAACCCCAGAAATTTGCTGCTTCCAAACACCCAGATGCCCCTGAGTGGCTGCTGCTCCTGCAGCTTCTTTAGCTGAGTTTTCCCACTGGAGATGCAGTTCGGATATTTTATTTATGTTTAAAAAAAAAACAAAAACAAAGGTGTTTAGATATTTACAGAGTAAACGTGCTTGAAAATAATCAAAGCTTCAAACATTTGCCACTTGGGACTGAATTTCCAGGGGAACTGAGGGGATCAGGTGCTTGGAATGAGAGGAAAGTTGAGAAGAAGAGGGAGAGGGAGGTTTTTCTGTAGTTGTTATTGCTAGAGAAACCTCCTCTTCTGAGTAGTCTGGCTTATTTGAAAACAGAGCTGGGAAGCAGGATGTGTGCTGAACATCAGGATGAAATGAGGAGAGAAGAGGCCTTCTGGCAGGCTGCTGTGCATAGTTTCAGTGTAAAACAGCAAAAAGTCCATCTGAATTCAGTCATTTCTTAATGAAGTATCAAGGATTAAAAAAAAAAAAAAAGAGGAGAGATGTACAAAAACCAAAAGGCAACAGGTTGGCCTCATACTCACCTTGGTTTGAAGACTCTGTGGGGTGTTCTGCAGTGAATTTATCTTTTTCTGGCACATTTAATGCACTGTCCTTTTGCTAGACAGAGAATCCAAGCTCAAATAGGTGGAGACTTCAGAGTCAGGAGTAGCTTTGCTTTTGAAGTCACAAACAGCAACCACAACACTCAATGGATGCAGGATTCAGCTCCAGCTTCTCTTTCCAGGCAGTCTCTTAAATATCCATCTTCTGATGAGCTTTCACTTCAAAGTGCAGCTAATGAAGTGCCTGTCAACACGTGGCAGTTAATGCTGCTCTCTGCCTGCAGATGAATAAATATGGAAAGGGAAAATGAAAAATTCCTTATTCAGCTTCTCAGCTGGGAGCCACTTTGTATTTGCCCCATTTCCTGATCAGTCTTCACGAGAATTTTCAGAACTGTTACTCAAATATTTGCTGTGCCAGCATTTCTCTTTTTCTTTTTTTTTTCTTTTTTTCTTTTTTTTTTTTTTTTTTCAGAAGGAATACTAATAGGGAATTACAGTGGGCAATTTCCAATATTTGTGTTGGAAAGCTGCTTCCAAGGCCTGGTAGATATCTGATCAGGGCAGAGAAACATGATGCTTCACATTTATCTGATCAAAGCAGGCCAGGCCAGGGTGGAAGGTGATCAAGGCAGCATTATTTACACCGCTCTGGGATCTGTCTTTAAAAGCAGATGTGTTTGCTTAAAAAGCTTGAATTTTAAGCAGCTCTTGCCATGCAACTGCAGGAAAATCTTGCTCTTTTTACTGATGTGCAGACAGCAAACTGGTTAATTACTGGGTGAAGCAGAACGTGGAATCCCAGAATGGTTTGGGTTGGAGGGACCTTAAATTGGCCCATCCAGTGCCACCCCTGCCATGGCAGGGACACCTCCCACTGTCCCAGGCTGCTCCAAGCCCTGTCCAGCCTGGCCTTGGGCACTGCCAGGGATCCAGGGGCAGCCACAGCTGCTCTGGGCACCTGTGCCAGGGCTCAGCACCCTCACAGGGAGGAATTTCCTCTGTATACCCAAACTAAATTTCCCTTCTTTCAGTGTGAAGCCATCCCCCCTTGTTCTGCAGAAGAATTTCCTGAAGAAATGTGCAAAAATCCCTCATCCTTGAAACAACTCAATCCCTGAAAAGCTGCCTAACCCTAATTTAACTGGGCAGTGCCTTTTGGAGCTTGGCATTCGGTCCCAGGGTGCATTTGTTGGTTGTGCCACCAATTCCAGTGCAGAGCAAACCTGCAGAGACAAAACTCCTTTGGGGTACAGCAGAGTGATCCCAACCTGCCCCTCTGGTGGGACCCCAGGAGCTGAGCCCTGCTTTACTGAGCCACTGCTTCCACTCTGCTCTGAATCATTTCCTTCCAGCAAATAGATGGGGAATTGATGATATGGATGTGTGAACAGGCAGAGATCCAGAGTGAAATTATTATAGATTGATTATCTCAAAGCTGTTCATAAATATAAATTAAATCTACAATTCCACGGGGCAGTGGGATGTGCTGCAGCCATCTCAGGCAGCAGGGGATAAGGAATATTTATTCTCTCATCATTCTTCTCCCTGTTGCCCCACCCCCAAAATGTTGTTTCTTCCACAAAAGAGGAGTCAGGAACAAAGCAAAATCTCTCCTGCTGCTGTAGAGTCCATGATGAGTCCCCTTCCTGAATGTGGAGTTCTCTGCAACTTAAAAATATTACAGAACTAAAGGTGTGATGGAATACCGAGTAAATATATTGGATGGCTTCTGTCTGAAGGACTAAATAAACTGGGATTTTATTTGCTCAGAAAGGGAGATGACAACAGCACACAAAAACTGCTGTAAAGGGGAACAGGAAATATCCTTTTTCACAATAAAAGTGCAGAGTCCAAATAAAAGAATGTGGTGACAAATAAGAATAAACGAGTGACAGGACAGGGGGAATGGCTCCAAATTGGCACAGGGGAGGTTTAGATGGGGTATTGGGAAGGAATTGTTCCCTGGGAGGGAGGTGAGGTCCTGACACAGATTCTCAGAGGAGCTGTGGCTGCCCCATCCCTGGAAATGTCCAAGGCCAGGTTTCAGCAATTAATAGTGTCCCTAGTGTGTTTCAAATAATCTTAATTCTGCTTTTGAGTGCAAATTCCTGAGTATGGTTTTTCTCACATTTACTGGATTTACTTGAGCCTCATCTCCTCAGGACAGCATTGCTGTGTGTAATTTCATTTTCATTCTTTTTGTACATTGTAATCAAAGCTAGGTATCAAATTTGATACATTGTAATCAAAGCTAGGTTCTTGTGATTGGGAACCAGCAACTCAAGAAAGGTTATTTCTCTTGTTTATAGAAACTGGTGGGGTTTTAACACTTATTCACTTCCTTTCAATTGGGATCAATCAAATTCCTGAAGCAACATGAAGAGAACAGCGAAGCTGAGGACGTTTTTATGCCCTGTTTGATTGTAAAATTGTAAGAATTCAACCAACTCCTCAAGATTGAGCCACAATGTTTCTTCCACTTTATTCCCAACCCCAGAACTCCTCGGAAGAAGCAGAGGCCGTGAGCAATGAGAAGGCAGAGGTGGCTCTCGAGGCTGTGGCTCCCGACAGGGACGAGAGCAAGAGCACGGAAAGCACCGAGGTGAAACCGCGAGGGGCAGAGAGCAAAACGCCCAAGGCAAACCTGAGGAAGTTCTTTAAGCTGGTAAGAGCAGCTTTGCCCTTCGGGAGCTCAGGGGGCTGGGGAGAGGCTTGGAAAACACCTTGCCTTTGTCTGGGAGGGTACAGGGGCACTCAGGGATGAGGGATGATGAGGGATGCTGAGGGATGAAGGATGCTCAGGGATGAGGGGTGCTCAGGGATGCTCAGGGATGAGGGATGCTGAGGGATGCTCAGGGATGAGGGATGCTCCGGGATGCGCGGCTGGGACTTCTCCCCGCATTCCCCCGTGCATTCCCCGTCCTGCATCTCCCTCTCGCGGCTCCTCCCGGAACGTCCCGAGGGCTCCGGTGGCCCTTTCCCCGCCGAGGTGGCCCAAGGAGCTCCAGGGGTCGCGACACCGAGGATGCTCCACCTCACAAACCGCATCATCCCCCTGGAGGAGCCCATCTCCAACCCCACCTCCAAATCCATCTCCTGCTGGCCACGGCACTGTCACTCCTCCTGTGCCGTGTTCTGTCCTGCACTGGCTTTGGGGAGTTGTATTTTTAGTGGCAGGACTTTTTTTGGCAGTTTGTGTAGGTTAGGTAAACTGGCACGTGAAAGGAAAGGAGGCAGCCACTCCTGCAAAGGTCCATCAGGAGGGAAAGAGGAAAGGCAGAAAATAGAATCTAATCCTGCTTTCCAGAGCAAAGTTTTTCCCAAATCATCTGCAGTCCCACATAATCAAACTTTTAGGCAATGAATAGCATTTAGAATTGAGAATAACTATGTTGTCACAACTGTTGGTGAAAATGTAGCAGGGTGTTGGCTGTCCCCACCCTCCTCCATTTAAAAACATCCCAACCCACCCTGCTGACTGCTGAAAACTTTGTGGGCAGCAGCAAGCCCAAGTGACCAGAGGCAAGGATAAGAGGTCAGCAGTGCTCTGGAGAGAAATCCTTGGGATTGTTTCGTCCTCATCTCACTGGCAGCAAGAGGGAGCTTTGTCTAGACCTCAAGGTCTTTACTCTGTTTTTGGTTAAAAATAATCATAACAATAAAAATACGAGGTGGATTAGAGAGGTTGGCTAAAGCAGGGCTATTTTTATCTGGGTTTGTGGTGTTTATAGGGGAAAAGGTAACACTGATTGCTGTTAAAGCAGGTTTGGGTTTTTTCCTAAAGGCATTTGAGGACTTGCTAAAACACAAATGCAGAGCAGATCTCATCACAGCCCATCTCCATGCACTCTGGACTGGGTTTGTCCCCAGCACAGACCACACTGTGCTTCCTCCCCTGCACCTCCTGCACAGATAAAGCTCCCGAGCACAAACCCTGCCAGGCTCAGCATGGCACCTTCCAGGGACAGGGTTTTTCCCCACAAAAGCCATGAACTGTCATGGAGTGGTTTAATTTTCTCTCCTGCTGCTGCCATGCATTGATTTTTGTGGTTTTGTAGGAAAGTCAGGGTTGCAGTAACCCCATCTGTGGGACCAGGCTGGTGCTGTTGTAGCTCTACCAACGTAGAGCTGCAGCAAAACACAATTCCGCCTGAGATAAATTTAGAACAAAAGTCACATCCTTTCATTGTTTTCATTGAACTTCTGCAATGAAAAATGACATTTAAATTTGGGCACTCTGAAATCCTGCAGTTTATTTCACGCTTTGCTGCTGAGTTCTGTGGCTCAGGAGAACACACTGAACCCTCCCAACACATTTTTAAACACAAATGCTCATTCCTGTTGTCCCTTTTGTAGCACTGATTGTAACTTAAGCTTAACCTAATTCTCACAAAGCTTGTACTGTTTACTTAGTTTGGTCAAACAGGGGTTTCTCACTTTTAAATATAGATGGAAATGGGTTTTTACCTTAAAAAGATATTTCAGAGTCAAGGTTTGCTCTGAGTGACCTTCCAGTGCTGCAGCCTCAGGCTCTGCCTGGATTGTCCTGGCTGGGAAGTGTGGGAACCAAGGAGGATTATTTTTTAGAGGCTTAAGGACTGCAGGAATAAACTGGAAAGCAAAAATCAGGATTAAATGGATGCTGATGACAAAATATGGAAGCATCCCTCTAAATGTGAGTGGGCTTTAATTATTCACAGCACATGCACTTAGTAGGGTGAGTAAAGAGTAAATCCCACTAGGTCTTGTAGGACAGATTTGGCTCTGCAAAGCAAAGAAAAGCTCTTTCCTAGAAAATTCCAGCAGCAGGGCTGACAGCAGGTTCTTGTTTAGTGGCTGAAATGATCCCTGCTCAGGCTTTGATGGGAAACCTGACTGGCAAGAGGCAATCCCACAGAGCAGAGCCAGCAAAACCCACCCTGGAGACGGGGACATTTCCAAAGTGGAGGTGCTGAAGTGCCTTCAAGCCTTGATTCCTGGGAGTTTTCCTCCTGAACGAAGCCTCAAACAGGACCCTTTGTTGTTTTAGTCAGTCAGGGGTGATGGAGGGACCCCCCGCTCCGAAGAGGGAGATGGTCCCAGCCCCAGACACCACGTAAGTGGACTTTGGATCTTTGGCCTGGACTTCTTCATCCTCTGGTGATGGGTTCTTGTCACCTCCTTCCACACAGCTCTGCCTCTTGAGATGGAAAAGGCACTGAGAGTGCTACACTCACTGAGCTTCGTGCATTTACACACAGCTTCTGTTTCTTTTATCTGTTCAGAATATTAAACAAGATTTTAAAGAGTCAACATCATATTTTATTTTTTAAAAAAAGCTTTTTCCGGGTGTGTTCCTTTTCTTAAAATAATCAGTGGGTTTATGTACAATCTTCTTCTTCTCTCTTGCTGCTTTTTGACTTTCTGCAAGAACCTTGGCTCAGGCAGTGGAGCTAAATACACACAGAATTATTTTTACTTTGTTGATTCACTTGACTTCTGAGGAAGGAATCATTTAGGTGGAAACTCTACAAAAGAGAACTGAAAACGAGAATGAAAACTGTTCACTGCAATGTAACAAAAGCCATGAAAAGATTTGTTTCTTGTTCTGTTTTTGTTTCTTTTGTTCTGTGTTCATAAAATCTAAACCCAAACTTTGGGTGTGGTGTTTTCATTCTATTCTTCATGGCTTTCAAAATGCTCCAAAAAAATATTATTTTCATTAGAAATACAAATTCTGTTAATTTGAGAGTCAAACCCTCATCTGCTTCAAGTGAAGATATCCTGAAGAATTCATCTCTCAGTAATGAGAACTAAAACAAGGTTCTGTCTATAGACAGTTTCCTTTAAGAGGAAAACTGAAGTTGCATTCAAAACTGTCATTTCAGAATTTCCTCTTTTAAATAGCTGTAAAATCATATCTCTCTCTTCCTATTTTCACAATGTCTGATGACACCAAGGTTAATTTGTATGAATTATGTCTCTAAAAGCACGCTAAATATAGAAGGGCCTTGTCTTGTGACACTTAATCCTTATTTCATACAAGAGCTTTGTGAAGTGATCTGACTAAGACACCAAAAGTTTCAGCCCTGGATCTATTTTATTATTTTAATGAGCAGCCAGCTTCCCTCCATTTCTGTAAATCAGTTTATTGTTCTTCCTTCTTCTCTCCCTTGCCCTGGTGTAAAGTAGAACAGTTTTATTCCTCAGAGGAGCCCAAGGAAAACTGGATCTGCTGCTGACTTCTTCCTTTTTTGGGGATTTCTTTGAAAGGATTTCCTTAAATTATGCTGTAGTGTCTCTGGAATGCTGTGATTCTTCTCCCCTTCCCATCCCTGCCACTCTGCACCCTCCCGAAATTTCAGCACTGCTCCAAAACCACAGAAATCCCAGGCTTAAAAATCAGCCTTGGCCCAAGGTCTCCTGTAAGATAACAGGGAAAATGCTGTCCATTTTTCTTTTTTTATTTCAGTGGCAGTGCTGATGTTGAGGGAGGCAAAGCAAACTGCCAGGAGCAGCTCCCCTTTGGAATAAGGAGCATTAACATCTTTCATTATTCCTTGGCCTCACTCCGCATTTCCTGAGCTGCTCCCATCAATATCAAATCTGCCAATTTCCTGCCTTTCAAGGTTAATATGAAACACCTCAAAGGGATTATCTGATAGGGTTGGAGTTGGGTATTTTTTGCCTGGGAAATGTATTATGAATATTTTTTAAAAACTGTTTAGTCTGCCTGACATCAAAGGCCCCACCTGCTCTCGACCACGGGGACAGTTCTGCTTTGGCTGCAGCGCTGTCTCAGGCACGTGTGGGGAGGAAAACTCTAATTTTACACCCACAGAGCAAAGCCACAGATTGCACAGAGTGTTTCTGAGGGTTCCAGGCTCCTCTGCCCCTCTGAACTCGGCTGTGGCTGGGCTCAGTCCCGGAGCTGTGCTTGTTGCTGCAGTGAAGGTGAATTTTTGCAATTTCACCAGAGAATCCTTTCAATGCTGAGCTGAGGCCAGTTCCAGTGAGAAGAGTCTTGGGAAGCAGCTCAGAGCTCCCAGAGTTCACTGAGAGACAACTTTCCATTTGCTTTGTGTCCATCCTCGTGCTGGGAGAGCTCCTGCATCCCCTGGGCACGGCAGTGTCACTGCCCAGGTGAGGGGACACAGGTGAGCTGTGCGTGGTGCCTGTGAGCCCAGACCACAGCTCTGCTCTCCTCTGACCCCACTGAACCTGCTTTAAACATTCATAAATCTGCTGATCCCCTCCTTCACGTTCTCCTGCACAAAGACAAGCTGCTGACTGGGTTTTTTTAAGTCTGAGAGCAGAGCAATCCAGGTGTGAGGAAATATTTACCACATATATTAATCTCTGGAAAAAGAAATAATTTCAAAAGCTCGTGTTTAGTGGAGGAGTTGAGTCTCCTGGTCAAGTCTGAATGTATTAAACGGGTTCTGTGATTTAAACAGGGAACTTTTTTAAGGTTGGGCAGTGAGAAAAGCTGAATTGAGTGAAAAAGGCAAAGCAGCAGGATTGTTGTCCCCTCTCGTTCTTGTTTCCCCAGAATTAGACAGGCTTGAACATTCTTTATTTTTAAATACAAGAGGTGTATTTGTATTCTGTTTCTCTCAAGTTTCTCCTTTCAGGGTTTTCTCTGAAATCATGATATCTAAAAATGTTTTTGTTTTGAATGAAAGCTAAGCCTGGCGTGTGAGCACATAACCCCAGGCCTTCAGAAGAACACCAAATATTTCAAGACTAATGGTAAAATTCCCAAAGCTGGAAAAATACAGAGCATTCAGCTTGGGCCATGGCCTGAGGGCAGATGTGAGATTTCCAGCTTTTCAACATGGCAAATTTGTGCTGTTTTAATGATGGCAATAAATAAAGCCATATGGGTTTAGGGTTTTCTTCTTTTTTTTTTTTTTTTTTTTGCATTTAAAAAAAAAAAAGGTTCACCAGCAGGACTTGGGCCAAAGAAAAGCAAGGTTTTGGGAAAGGAAGGAAAATTCAGGCCTCGGGGTGCTGCTTGAGGCAGGGATGGTTTGGTGGTTTGCCCAGGAGGAGCTGATTGAGGCAGGGATGGTTTACCCTCGGGGTGCTGGTTGAGGCAGGGATGGTTTGCCCAGGAGGAGCTGGAATTGTTGGCACAGCGCTGGGTTTGGGGTTCATGCCTTGGCTGTGGGGATGACTCAGAGTTCCTACAAATTACAGCGTGGTCATTAAAGGAAAGTGGAGGTGGGGCTGGTTTAGCAGAGGAACCTGCCTGCCCCCGTGGGGGTGCAGCTGGGACATCCCTGCCAAAGAAAATCCCTGCCAAACAAAATCCCTGCAAGTTCAAAATCAAGGCAGGTGATCAAAATCAAAACTCCTTTGTGGAGTTTAACAAGAGACACACATTTAGAATTCTTCCAGAAAGGGGGATCTGGAGGAAACACCTTCGAAATTTATGGAAGGCATAGTGAGACACAGGAAAGGTGGCTCAGATTGAAAGGGCAATAAAAGCTTTTGGATCAAGAGAGGAGATTGTGAGAGGTAAAAAGACCATTTGAGGAATAAAACAGAATCAGTGTAGGGGAAGTGGAGATTCTGTAGGATTTATTCTGTAGTTCTGTAGGATTTATTTTTTCAGTTTGGCTGTGCAGTCCCTTATCTTCTGCTGCAATTATAGAGGGTGCTCCTGCAGCTTCCCTCTCCCATTAACTCTAAAAAAAAATAAAAAAAGAAATTTTTGACAACAGTAAAATTGATTTGGTCACTTGATTGTGCTTCAGAGTGGCAGCAAACCACATAACAATGAGGTCTGTGTGTGGGAAAACTCTCGTGGAAAATTATTATGGATTATTATTATTACCTCTCTTTGAATATCCTCAGGATTACCAAGAGCTAAGAAACTCATTCTGCAATGATAAAAAAAAATAATCTCCTCATCTCCAAGGTGATCAGAAGGTGTAATCATTGATCTAAAGGTCATTAGATCACACACACCAACCAATGCCAGCGTTGCCATTTCAAGATAACAGCTCGATTGTCTGGGAACAACTCAGCAGAGAAATTCAGCTTTTTGTTGATATAGTGGGAGCAGGAGATGTTGAAGGGGGGATCCAGCAGCTCTCCCAGCCTGTGCTCACCCAACAACTCCCTTCTGAGTCCCCTGGGAATGTCACAGTGCAGGAATACAGATTAAACACTGCAGCTCCAGCCTCTGCTCCCAGCTGGGCTAAAAATGCTGGAATTTTGGCTAAAAATGCTGAAATTTTGGCTACAACTGGAGCCATTTATGCAAGCAAACAGCATCAGTGCCCAGCTGCAGGGTTTGAGCACAGATAAGGTTGTTCCTATGGTAAAAGAGATTAATTTATAAGCTGTAGCAAATGTATTTAGGGAGTCTTTGAAAGATTAGATTAGAAAGAAAAAGAAAGGGGGGAAAAACAGATTAATAACATTGTTTCCTGGGCTGGAATAACTCATAGTCCAGTTGTCAGGAGCTGGGAGTGCTCAGCACGTGGAAAGTATTCGGATTTTTTCTGCTATGTATATGCTGCACTAACCCAGGCTTCTCCTGAGCAAAACCTGGGGGAAAAAGTACTCCAGCACCAAGGTTTTGCTGTGTGTGCCCTTTAAAATGCTCTGCCCAAATGTTCCAAGCTCGCTGTCACAAAGCCGTGAGCTGGTGGTACCTGAGCTCCTGAATCCCAGGGCAGAGCTGGAATCTGTCCCTTAAAAAAGGCAGAACAAAGCTCTTTCTTTCACGAGAAAGAAGGGCTTGGAAATTCCAGTTCAACAGGAATCATCAGCCAGTCTGATCTTCCTGCTTTAATCAGCAACCACCTTGAAAAAGGAGCAGGGGACTGCAGCGAGCAAATAAGTGACCTCTGCAAAATGGGTGCTAAAAGAGGCAAAATGGGGATTATCTCCACGGAGAATCCTCCTCTCCTGTCTCCTCCCTCCACCCTTTTATAGGAAAAAAGGCAAATTGTAGCATCGTATTCCCTGATCAGTTCAGAAGTAACTTCGTCGTGCTCAGACAGGAGCTGGAGCTGGCAGACCCCATTACTCCTGTCAAGTGGGAAATCTTTACCTGATGTGGAGGTTTTTAGGGTTTCTGGCTAAATTTGGAATGAGTAGCTCACTTAGTATTGGTTGGTGGATAAATGATGGATTTGCTGCTACCTGTAAATGGCCAAACCTTTCATTCTGCTCTAGAGCATCCTCCAAACTCAATGCCAGGACAAGCAGAAGCGAAGCCACTGCGGCCAGCTCAGCTGCACAAGGCTACAATCAGTTTTACATGGGATTTTTCAGTCCATTGTGATTTTTGCCTGCCCTTTTTCATGCTTAGATCCTCCAAGGTGAAACCTTAAAGAAAGATCAGTGAGTTGGAGCCTTATCAGTGTAAAAACCTTGCTGGTTTTAGTTCCCTGAAGGGGATGAAGAAGTCGAGACCTTTCACTCTGCATGTGTAACACAGAATCCTCCTGAACTGGTGACTCAGGTTTCCAGGAAGGGACAATTCACACATTATTCTGCCAGGTTCCTATCCTAGGGAAAGCACAGAGGCACCTTTAGCTTTGTCATGCTGGATTTTCTGCTTAGCAAGGTGTGATTTGGGTTACAAACAGCACTGACACCCCACACTGGTAACAGTGACCTCAAACACTGATTGTGGGTCCGTTTTGCTGAAGTTTTGGCAGCTTCAAGGCCAGCAAAATTAGGTCAGGCACCTTAAACCAGAGCCAAGTTTTTATCAGTTAGTGAAAAATGTAGTTGGTATAGTTAGAGCTATACATTTCCTTCATCTAAGCTGGATTAGTGTCTTGGAGTGGTTCCAAACCCAGAATTATGTTTGCAGTGTAAAAAAAGCTTTATCACTCGAACATTGTCGAATACCTGTCATGCATAAAAGTATTTAATGTTCCTTTAACCTAGAGCAGAGCAGGGCTGGCTATAATACACCATTCATCATGCCTGAAGGACTCTCAGCAGGGCTGCAGTGAAGCGTTTAGGGCAGGGAAATGGTAGAGAAAGTTATGCCAAAACTCCAATACTACAGACACACAGCAGCCTGGCTCTGGTAGGTGAGCCCAGTTCCTGACAACAATTATTTCCATGCCAATTGAGACAATTCTATTAAAATAACCCCCACATTTAGGCAGGAACTTTGTGTGGTTCTCATGATGCAGATGGTGCTCGTATATTTGTGCGTATTAAATGAAGAAAAGCAGGGAGATTAAATCAGTGGGAAATATCTGGCAGCAAAAGTCTAGGGCACAATTCCAGACTTGACCATTCAGAAATAGTTGGAAGTGTTTCTAAAGGTGTCTCTCTTGTTCCACAGGGCTCCAAAAGGATGTCGGATGCAGAAGTGCAGACAGATCCCGTGTCCATCCTCCCTGCTGGGAAATCCAAGTAGTGCCAGCTGCTGGAGGGAGGCTCAGCAGCTCTCTGGAGCTCCAGAAATGACTCCTTTCTGGCAGCAGAAATGACTCCTTTTCCTTCCCACGGCTGTCACAAACACCTGAGGCTGAAGCAAACACCGGGTACCACTGCAGGTTGTCATGGCAGGGTTTGTCATTTTGCAGGTTGTCTTTGCAGGGTTTGTCATTTTGGAGGTTGTCTTTGCGGGGTTTGTCATTTTGCAAGGTTGTCTTTGCAGGGTTTGTAATTTTGCAGGTTGTCTCTGCAGGGTTTGTTCCTCACCTGTAGAAAGCTGCTCTGCAGATCCTATGAAATGTGTTTAAGGTAAGGTGCTGTGGATGGTTTGAAGTGTGCAGAGGGGAGGGTGAGTCAGGTACGAGGCTGGCAGGGAATTCAATAAATGGCAGAAAAAGCAAGCAGGTGACAGAGGAAGGCAGCGAGGCACGGGCAGAGAATCCTCCTCTTCAGAGAGCTTGAAAGCAGCCAGGAAAACACAAATCCCCTGGAGAAATGTTCTGCTGCAGTGTAACAACAGCCGAGTCACTTCTGGTGGGGTTTCGACAGAGCTGGAATGAGAGCTGAGCCCTTCAGCCCGGCAGAACCCGTGGTGATCGAGTCCTGCTTCCTGATGGTTATTAATGTAAATTAAAACGCTAAAATGCAAAGGCTTGCCGTGATGGGGGCAGCTCCTGTCTCGGCCGGCAGGGTGGGATAACAAATTAAAAGCTATTTAAGGTTCTAATAGGACACAAGAGGGCAGCCACGTCCCCTAACGCCGGGCTGTGCCTGCCAGCCCGGAATTAATGTTCCTTAGATCATAGGAAACTTAGTTGTTCATCCTGATGTTTGTTTGTATCCATACTTGTAATTAATCCTAATAAAAAACCAAAATCGAAGCTGCCCAGGCAGCTCTCTGCTTCACAAGACTCCTGTAATAACTGTAGTTAATAAATTTTACAGAAAATTAAGATTTCTGTTTGTTCAATCCTAGCCTGTACAGGGAACCAGGGGCTTGACACTGTAATCCACACTGATCTTAATGATGCAATACTGTATATTTTGACATCCTTATCTTTAAATAAACTAATACTTATCCTTTGAAACAAAAAATCAGCTGCTGTTTCAATTTGCAAACCAAGTTCGTTATTTACATCCCCTGATGGTGGCCTGATGATTGATGTGACACTAAGGCACAAATCAGCACAGACAAACCTTGCCCGTGGAGGGAATAGTTGTTATTCTCTCTTTATTTGAGTGAATATTACACATGGAAAGCAGGGGAGAATTCTCTAAATTCTGCACAATTCTGTTTCTAACTAATCAGAGAGGACAGAGGTGCAAAGCCCCTGCAGTTCAGTGGGATTTTGGCTCTGGGTTCTGCAGACCTGCAGGTTTGGGGTGCCCAGCCCAAACTTCAGCTGGTTCTGTGCACACAGAGCACAGACCAAGGGTTCTTTATTGTAAAGGCACTTTCTGCTCCCTCCCTGGCACTCTGATGCCATGTAAAGGGACATCAGTCCATGGTGATTGACCCACAGCCCCTCCTTGTCCTTCTGGGCAGCACCAGGGTGACAGAATTGGGGTTGTTCTGCCCAGCTTTGCTCCACAAAAAGAAATAAATAAAATTAGGCTTTGTCTACATGAGATGAGATTGAATGGAATAAAGCAGAGCCAGGGAGACAGCTGCAGTGTGAGACAGGGCTGTGGCAGTGCCAGGTGTGAGACAGGGGCTCTTAGCAGAGCAGAGGGAATAAATGGTGTGATCACACTGCTGGGATTACCTCAGGAATAGTAGTTCAGTAATTTTTAAATAAAAGTTATGAATATGATCAATTATATTAGCATAAAATCACAGAGGGGTTTGGGTGGGAAGGGACATTAAAGCCCACCCAGTGCCACCCTGCCATGGCAGGGACACCTTCCACTGTCCCAAGTGCTCCAAGCCCTGTCCAGCCTGGCCTTGGGCACTGCCAGGGATCCAGAACAGCCACAGCTGCTCTGGGAATTCCAGCCCAGCCCCTCCTCACCCTCACAACCAGGAATTCCTCCCCAGTATCCCACCTAACCCTCCTCTCTGTCAGTGTGAAGCCATTCCCTGTGTGCTGTCCCTCCATCCCTTGGAAATCCTCTCTCTCCATCTTTGCTGCAGCTCCTTCAGGCAGTGGAAGGAAGAAAACCTTTTTTCCAGGCTGAAAATACAGAATATGTATCTATTTCTATATTATGGACTGTGTAGACATTAATTAATATTCTATTTTGGCTAGACCAGACCTTCTCTGGAGGAGAAGAGCTCTCCCCTCGGGGAGCAGCCTGTGCTGGGGGCACCCTGAGCTCCCAGGAATCGGGGCTGCTGTGCCCTGACCCCATCCCTCGGCAAAGGGGCTGCTTTGAGGAGTCAGGAGTCACTCTTGGCAGAGAAACAAGCACCAAGGGTGGCTGTGGGTGCCCTCCATGGCACGGGGCTCTCACTGCAGGCAAAATAAAACCACTCTGAGAGCTGGCACAGGCTCCTGGCAGAAACTGCCTGGTGTTTTTTTGTTGTTTTTTTTTTTTTTGTTTGATTCCTTTTCTGGTTTTGTTTGATTCCTCCCCTGATTTTCCTTGATTCCTCCCCTGGTTTTGTTTGATTCCTCCCCTTGTTTTGCTTGATTCCTCCCCTGATTTTCCTTGATTCCTCCCCTGGTTTTGTTTGATTCCTCCCCTTGTTTTGCTTGATTCCTCCCCTGATTTTCCTTGATTCCTCCCCTGGTTTTGTTTGATTCCTCCCCTTGTTTTGCTTGATTCCTCCCCTGATTTTCCTTGATTCCTCCCCTGGTTTTGTTTGATTCCTCCCCTTGTTTTGCTTGATTCCTCCCCTGATTTTCCTTGATTCCTCCCCTGGTTTTGCTTGATTCCTCCTCTGTTTTTGTTTTTTTTTTTTTTTTTTTTTTTTTTGTTTGATTCCTCTTCTGGTTTTGTTTGATTCCTCCCCTAGTTTTGTTTCATTCCTCCTCTGATTTTCTTTGATTCCTCCCCTGGTTTTGTTTGATTCCTCCCCTTGTTTTGCTTGATTCCTCCCCTGGTTTTCCTTGATTCCTCCCTGGTTTTCTTTGATTCCTCCCTGGTTTTCTTTGATTCCTCCTGCCAGCAGCAGCCTTGCAGAAGCCCCTCAGCCTGCCCATGACTCTGCCACACGTGGAACCCAGAGGAAGAAAGGTCTTAGGAGAAGCATCCCCAGCTCAGGGAGTTTCCGCATTCCTCACGGATATAAGGAACATTAAATGCAGCTTTCATGTCCAGGAAAGCTTAACAAGTCATTTGGAAATCAAAGCTTTGGAAGGGCTGCAGCCCAGGACAAAGGAAAGGAGCAGCCAAGGCCATACATTGCATTTAGAGCCCGTTGTTAACAAACAGGCTCTGGTTTTATGTTTTGGAGCATAACCGGGGCACATCACACTGCTCGAGGCTCTCAGGGTGTGTTTCAGGGGGGCATTTTGGAAGGGTTTTAAGCATCTGATAAATATAAAGGGGAATGGATCAAAACTGCAGGTTTTTCTGCAAGAAATGCTGGCTTACAGCATGCAGAGGGTGATTTGCAGGTTCCCAGCAGGGCTCTCTGTGTCCATCCCAGGAGCTGGGTTCTCTGTGTCCATTCCCAGCAGGGCTGCAGAGCCATGAACTCCTCCCTGCTGAGCATGCCAGACCCATCCAGCCTCAGAGCAGGGAATCTGGGCAGGATCTTGCCCCTTGGAAGTTTAAGGTCCTTCATTTAGGAGCTGAGTCTGCTCACACTGAGCCAGGCCCTGATTTGGGGTTTGTGTTTCACAGCTCTGCACCCACAACATGTTTTAAGAACCCTTGGATACCTTTTGGGATGGAAATCTTCACAGCTGGCTTTAAAGTCACTCATGCAACAAAACCTGTGGTTTCCTGCCTGGAAGGATGGTGTGACAGGAGGTAAACACAGAGTTGGTGGCTGTGGGACTGAGCCATGGGAGGCTGGAGCTGGGATGGCTCTGAATTCCGTGCAGTCACACAATCTGAGAACAGCAGTGAGAAATCTGGATTTGTTATAGACTCCACCTCTTCTGGATAACACACCCCGGGCTTTACTGGCAATTTCAGCAGCTCAGCAGTTCTGAGAACACAAAAACAGGAAATTCTGCAGCAGCCCTGGCGAGGCTGAAGATGCTTACGAATTCCTTAAAGAAGCGTCATTTTCTGGAAACAAATTATCAAAAGCCTCGAAGAAGAAGAAGAAGAAGAATAAACTTCTTATCAGCACTCTTTGCTTTGACTTCATCATTTCCTATTAAATCTGTCACCTGCTGAAGGGCAGAGGAAAGAACCTCCTGCACAGGAAGCACCAGAGATTTGACTTCAAACCGGAAAGGGACAAAGTCCAAATTCCTCCTTTATCACATCCCAGGGTGAGCAGGTGATGGAGAGCCCAGCAGTGCCCCTTCACCTGCCTTTGCTCACAGCAAGGGCCTTTATTCTGCTCACAGTCCTTCATCCTGGTCACAGTCCTTCATTCTGCTCACAGTCCTTTATTCTGCTCACAGGCACAGGGATGATAAGGACAGACCCTCACCCATGGCATCTAAAACACAATTAGAGTTTTGCAGACTCATCTTTGTGCACCAGTTTCAGGATGTTTGTGATTACTTCATTGGAGTTGGTTGGAAAACAGAAGGGAAGTGGGGATTAAGCTGCAGAGGTTTCACTTTTTTTTGCTGTCAGCAGTTTTGAGTCCATTGGAGAAATAGATTCTGAGCTGGTACAGGCTGAAATTTTATGACTTTGGTAAATGAATCTGAAGTATTCCAGAATGTTGGGACTCCATCATCACAGGAAGCTTTTGAGCCCTGGCAGTGGCTGCTATGAGTCAAAGAAAAGAATTGCTTGTGAAAAATTTGCTTGTAAAATGGAGCTGAAGCAATCTTTTTTTCCTATTTTTAAAAATTCTAATTTTTTTTTTTTTTAACCACTGCTTCACATACTGAAAAGGCACATAATTATCAAATGCCCCGTTCAGGAATCTTTCATCAAATTCAGTAATCAGGGCTAGATAACTTTATTACTCCCTGTTTATTGCCACAAAATGCTTTATCAACATTCCCAACCCAGCCACAGAGCAGAACCAGTCTTAGACATTTTAGAAAAAAATTTTCTTTACCCCAAGAACCCAGGGCTGGGCCACACCAGAAGGATTTTGGTGCTTCCAGCAGTGAGTGGAGCAGCCCTGCAGAGACACAACCACACAAATTTCATCCCAGCGAGACTAAATCCATGCAAAGCCTTTTACTACCATTGTGACTACACTCAAAAATAATTTTTTGGCTCTCTTCTCCCGATTTGTTGCCTCCACACAGTCCTGCCACAGTAGAACTGCTGAGTAAAAATGAGGTTTTGCCTGGGTCAATCTGCTGAGGGGGTCTGCAGGTGCCACGGGGCACAGAAGGGGTTAAAGGCTGCCCTGGGGTCAGCCCGGTTGGGTTCATTTGGGACGTGATGAGAAGGTTTAATCCCCTGGAAGGGATGGGAAGGGAGGCAGAGCTGCAGGAGGAAGGGCTGGCTTTTCCCAGGGGCAGGTAAGAGCTGTGCCCGGCCGGCTCTGGGGGCCTTGGAGTGCTCTGGTGCCTTTCTGTCTTTTTGTGGCTTCCCAAGGAGACAGCAGTGCCCCGTAAGGTTTTGTGGTTCCAGCTTTCTCTGCAGTTTGTGGGGTGGTCCTCCTGTGCTTCGAGAGGATTCCCCTGCATTTTGTGGGATGGTTCCCCCATGGTTTGGGCTGATTCCTCCATGGTTTGTGGGGTGGTTCCCCTGGGCTGATTCCCCTGGGTTTTGTGGGGTGATTCCCTTGGGGTGGTTCCCCTGGATTTTTGTGGGGTGGTTCCCCTGGGCTGATTCCCCTGAATTTTGTGGGGTGGTTCCATCGTGGTTTGTGGGGTGATTCCCCTGGGTTTTGTGGGGTGGTTCCCTTGGGCTGATTCCCCCATGGTTTGGGATGGTTTCCCTGGATTTTGTGGGCTGATTCCCCTGTGGTTTGTGGGGTGGTTCCTCTGGATTTTGTGGGGTGGCTCCCCTGGACTGATTCCCCTGGATTCTGTGGGGTGGTTCCTCTGGATTTT